AATAAAAAATAACTAATGTTATTAAAATTCTTCTTCTTTTTTTAATCTTTAAATAAGTGAATTCAATAACTGTGTACTAATATTGTTCAATTCTGTTCGATAAGAGGTGTTAATTTCACTTTTGAGGCATTAATTAATGTTAATTTTACTATGGAGGTATTTATTAGAAAGTTAACATTAATCTGGAAAATACATTTTGTATTTTCCAGATTCCTACTATCCATATTGTTGTAGAAAAATGTCTTAATCAGTTGAAAAACATTTAAGGTTATTGGAACAAAATATGTTTTTGATCCCGATTTTGTAACTTACTTGGCACCATTTAAACCCTTAAAGAATAATGTACAATACCTGAAAATTCGCCCATTATACCAAATAAATCAATTTTTTTGCTCACTGTACAGGGGGTGCAATTTGGGCGAAAAACAATTCTCAGAAACGCAACTTTTAGGGATTTTCTTTTGAACTTAACTGATTTGACTAGCAACTTAACTAACTTGAAGTTTAATCTATGTACGCCAGTTATTTTATAGTGTTTTCTTTTTTGTCCGTTAATTCTTTGAAAATGAAGTTAATAAAGTGATTCAAATTGAAAAAATTTTTTAAAAATATTTTTCAAAATATTAATTGAAATTGACTAGAAATTAATATTTATAAAAAAAATAATAAATAAATAAATAATTAAATTATTGGTCAAAAATACTCTGCATTGTTTTGATTATGAGAAAGAATCAGCATATTTTTATAAAATACGTCGTAAAATTTTTTTTAAAAATCAATGCATTTTTTAATAAAAGCTAATTTAGCTTTTATTAAGGAAATTATTATACATATTCCTAAGTTTCTTCTTTCATTACACAATAAAATAATATTTACTTTTTCAATTAATCATTGAAAAAAAATCATTTAATTTAGCTTTTAAACTGCTAAAAGGTAAGTGAAAAATACAAACGTAATAATTTTTGTGGTTATGCCAATATATTTTTTTCGGAAATTTTTGTATTGGTAAATGATATTTCAAACAATATCTTAATTGCAAATATCTTTTGCAAAATACAATATTTTACTAACAGAAAATATGGAATTAATTAATGGCCCATTTTCGAAAATCTAGATTTACGCTATAATCGATAAGCTTTTCCATTATGCAATTATTCTAATTAAATATCATAATTCTAATTCAGAGTAAACTGTTAATAAGAAAGTAATTCTTTCAAGAGCATGAAACTATCCTTTTATTATTGTGAGAAAATATTATTTAAGCAATATGGGAAAGAAATGCTTTTCATGAGGTGATAAAGTATGGATCTACTGCCCAGAAAAATAAGAAATCTGTTTCCAGAGAGAAAAATTTCGCCATTAATGTTTGCATGCTAAGCTTAATCTAACAAAATGTAAAAGAACTATAAAAAAAATCGTTAAAAGTTAAATTGTCCTGCTTTTTAATTTTCAATACAGAAGCCGTACCATACTGTAACATCTCAAAAAATTTTAACTTCGCGAAACAAAATAAATGAACGCTAATAAAAATGAAGATATTAAAACAGAAGAGAAAAAGAAGAACATGACGCTTTATTATTTTATTTTAAATCATAAAATGTGGCTACACTTAAAATTATTTTTTAAAAAAAAGTTTATTCATAGAAAACTATAAATTCAAATCTACGGATTAGAGCAAAATATTAACAGCTAAAAATATAATTAAAGAAATAGCATTTATCATTCAAAAATGCTGATCATATACCATATTTAAAAATTCAAAAAAATAAATTTCAGTTTTACTTTCTTAAACAAGTAAGAATAATAATAAAATATACTCATAGATTTAGTCATGACTCAACAAGTTAAAGTTACACTTATATTACACTAAAAGTTAGTTTCTTTGGAAACATATTGGTAGAAAAATGTTCTAAAATCGAAGATTTAGGCTGAAATAAGTCAACATTAAAATAGATTTTTTCTGAAATTAACTATTATCATTCATTAAATAGGACTCACATAAATAAGTTCTACACTCAAAATAACTAAAAGAAAGTACTTATAGAAAAACATAAATTCAAAACATGTGTACTAGAAGCGACAATTAAAGTTAAAATAAAGGAAGCAATTAAAAAATAATTTTAAAAAAAACATTTCGCAGTTACAATTGTCAAATGCAGCAAACATGAATAAAATCAGCACTTAAAGAGAGAATTTCAACGGAACATAATAAAAAATTCCTGCGCAGTTAAATCTAAACAAATGTTGCACTTTATTCTTACTGGTTATGTAAAATCTAGACGGTACTCTACATTCGGGACAAGCACGAGTAACAGAAGGATCTATTAAATCTTCTTCATGAGAATTTCGCACTTTTCTCCACTTAATAATGCAGGATAAACAAAACACGTGATTGCAATTCTCAAGAATACCAAACCGACGGTCTGCAACTCGATCTTTTTCCATTACGATATCCAAATATATACCACATGACAAATCACGTCGAATATCCGTTTCTCTCTCATGCCTACAGACTGCAATATGAAGACCTCGTTGCTTTTCATCAAAAGGATCCAAGCAATATCTTTGACACAGTTCACATAACTCTCCGTGGATGCATGGGCAATCGTCGAATGGACAAACACCATCAAAGAAATGCGGGCAGAATTCCATATCCAGTTTAGCTGATGATTCAGAAGTCTGCTCATTTTGTGAACTATCACCACTGTCATTTGATTTCGTAGAAGTGGCTAAATATTTGTTGTTTGCCGGCACGAATTCAGGTGCATTTGTCCATTCGCGTAAATCTGATTCACCACAAAGAGATGCCTCACCATTTAAACTGGTGTTGAAATTTTGAAGACTTCTCGTGGCGGGAAAAATATCCAGACCCCTTGTCCGTTGATGGGTAGGACCAGTATTCTGCTCTTCATTACTAGATTGAGATATATAATGAACATCCTCTTTAGTGTTTGGATGAGAATACCAACAGTTATCACCAAACATGCAAATGCCTTTCAAGGAAAAACGACCGGCGATATTTTCACGAGATCTACATGACCCGTCGTGTGTATAATTGTACCGATCACCTTCTTGGCAGGAAGAATTTAAATAAAACGGGCACACTAATTTCGTCATATTTACTGGTGCGCTTTCAGCCATTTTATATAATACTTAATTCACTTTCACCTCTGCTAGTGATAACAACCAACTATGGAATAATAAAATATAGCGCACAGGGGGAGATAGTGTACTTCAGAGAACGTGTCGATTCGAAAAGTTTTTTTTTTANAAAGTTTTTTTTTTAAAGTTGCATTTTTACCATTTTTCTAAAAATATTTTAAGTCTTTTTCTTTTTTGCTAATTGAATGCAAATGGTCTATTATGAATAAACTGTCATTAATGAAGAAATAAAGCATAACCTATTTCTGACCTGAGTCTATTTAAATTGATTTTTTTTAAGAAAGAAAAAAGTGGTAGCTCAAATGATTCATTTCTAAAATTTATTTTTCGAATACAAGAAAGTTTTGTTTACCACAC